GGTGGACACCACCACCTCGGTGTCTAAAATACAGAGAAGAGGATCAATGTACAAAACACAGGACACACCATGTCCCAGGATGGTCCCGACACGCACCGTGGCCTTCTACGGGGTACGCAAAGCTCAGCATCGATCCAAACTCCACCTTGTGTTCATAGCCAGGAACAGACAACATGGTCCGGCCGGAGAGCTCCTTCGAGTCCACCTGATGATGAGTTCAAGTGATATTATATCAGAGGCACACTCTGCTCTGTAGCTCATCTAAAAAGCGTACAGCGAGTGCTCATGTGAGCTCCACATTATCAGACTGTAGCATTAGACATGCAAACACATGCTGAAGGTTTTATTGTTCACGTGGAGGCAAAGAGCAGGTTTGGTACCGTTTTCAGCACACACATGGTCTCTGAGTTCTTCCCATAACCTTTAGTTTTAGATATGACATTAACGTCCATGTGCTAAGGAACAAGCAAAGTCAAACCTTGTACACGTTCTTATATAAAAAAGCCACTTATATACAAGTTGTTAATCAATCTGAAAGCTGTCTGGACCCCTGGATACGAGTAACTTTAGGTTGGGGAGAAGACACATTACTGTCTCTATTATTCTGTCCACTTGTTGCATTTGCTATCCATTTATGTAAAGCTGTCTCACCTCTATGTCAGAGATGGCAGATTCCAGGGCACAGCTCCAGCTGACCAAACCCTCTGAGCGATAAATTAGACCAGAGTCACACAGTCGGACAAACGCTGCAGTTACAGCTCTGCTAAAACCCTGAAATCAAATCACAAAAGCAGGATAAACAGTTGAAGGTGCTTTGCCCCATTCACCACTGCAGCTTTACAGCTCAGCTTCAGTGTTTCACTCTGCAATTCTTACGGCACTTTCATTTTCCTGGAGAGGCCACAGGATGGTGCGATTTCTCGTTTAGACGAGCCTGCGTGTGCCGTGGTGAGGAGGCAGAGATGGCTACAAATAAATAAATCTGCCTTACTGGAAACAGGGACGCTGGGAATGACTTATCATCTCTACCCATCGTGTGTATGTGGTGTATGTGCTTACATCGCACCACAGTTTCATATTCGTCTCTCTTTGTACCGCTGCTGCAGTTATTTGTACAGTTTCATAAATCAGCTCGTTAGGATGGTTGAGATCATCTTTCTGGGATGGTTTCATACGTAAAACTCCATCAACACGTTGAATCGCAGAGTAAGGAACATGTGTGACTCCACTCTTACTGGGTCCATGGTGAAACAGGCTCTGCTCCAGTCCAGAGAAGCTCCAAGCTTCCTCAGCTGGTGGTAGATCTCGTCTCCTTTCCTGCAACAGAGGCTCAAAACTCAGCAAACACCGTGCAGGCCACACAGCAGATGTGCTCAGAAGTCCAGATGTGAAGACTCACTCATTCTTCCACTTCCACACCTCCTCCAGAAACTCGTCCCTCGTAAAGTCTCGTCTGTGCTTCCCTGTTTGCCTCAGCAGTCTCCTCTCCACCACCGTCTAAAACACGAGCACATCGACACTCTCAGCACTGAGCATGTGCCACAATCATGATACAAATGTGTTTCCATATTTTGATGTTATTCTGAGGGACACCTGAGAACATGTGAGCCAAACCGTCATCACGCGTACCTGCGTTGCGATACCTGCATGGTCACATCCAGGCACCCACAGCACTCTGCAGCCCTGCATCCGTCTCCTGATGGATACAAACCATCAACACGTGAGCTCAGAGAACAAAGACAACATGCTGCTCTGCTGTTGATAGTTACCATCGAACCAGCGCATCCTCTACAGCTACTGTCAGAGCGTGGCCCAGGTGCAGAGTACCAGTCACGTTTGGTGGAGGAATACACAGAGAGAAGGTCCGATCCCCAGCGTGGGGCAGCCGTTCCTGAGAGCAGGAAGGGAAACACGTTACTGGCGTGCATGTGTGCACACTCGCTCTACAGAACAACTTTTTCCTTTGCTGTAATCAAATATCTCGTAGTGCTGTTGCTCGTGCTTTAGTAACGTATACTTTGTAATTATTGAAAATATTGACTTGACTTCTAAGGATTAAAAAAACATGTTCAGATTCAAATGAAACTGAACATTAAGGTGGACCTTTGAGACTGAGTGAAGTCTCTTTTGCTCCTCGTCGTGCCACCTTTACCTGGATAACTTGAATACAATCAGATCACTCTGACCAAATCTGAGGTGGTCAGGCTTGCAGTGTGATCACATCTCAGGAAGACGCACTTTTCTGTTTTCACAATCACAATGATCCTCTGAAGGCCCAGAAAAATGCACAACAGATTTATTTTCCCAAATAGATCGTTATGGCTTTTACCACATGATTGTCATATTTTATTCGACCTTTATTATTATTATTTATTTATTTTAAGTTATTGCAATTAGAACGGACAGGACTGAGGGACGGGAAAGATGAGGGACAGAGAAGTTGGGGAGAAGAGGAGGAAAAACTCGAGATGAAGAGGGAGGGAGAAAAAAACCCACTGAAAATCTGCTTCATCACCTGCCGAGAGAAAAACAAAAACAACACAGGAGGACATCACAGCAACCTGCCTTCTCCTGTCAAAGGAACAGAAGAAGCAAAGCAATATTTTTTCTACAATAAAAATAATTATTGTAGAAAAAACAAACTGCTTTACAGCAAATAAAGAGCGCACTGCTGGCAGGACAAGGTCAGAAAGGACATAAAGGTCACTTTGGACGCCTGAAAATATGACCAAAGTAGAAGTAACTGTCTGTGACAAATACAAATGTATGTTTTCTGATCAGTGCTCTCAAACAGTTCATCCATTTTCTGCATCACTAAATAAAAAGTATTTATTTGCTATTATTAGCATTAGTATTAAAGCTTAGCTGATTAACCACTTACTCAGTTTGTTTCATAGAAACTGCAAAAAAACTGCATTAAAGTGAATTCATTTTAACTGCAACAGTAATGATTTAACAAGTTCACATGTTTACATGTTGCTCAGGACTGAAGAATCCCTCTTTCTCCCACCACTGATACCAGCTGGACTCCACATACTCTGGACTGTAACACGATGGGAACGGTAAGCTAGTGTCTGCAGGGAAAAAGAAGAAGGACTTTCAGAGCCTGTGAGGAGAAGAGACAGCCGAGCCAGCAGAGGTTACAGGAGAGTCACCTTTCTTTGCCCCAGGAGGTGTAGGAGCAGTGTAAGCAATCTTCTGCTTCTCACTCCACTTTACTGCTTTACCTTCAGCACTCTGCAAACAGAAACATCAGAGCGTGTCTGACTGGCAGCTTCAGCTATCGTATCTCTCATAACTATATTTATGACATCATGGAGTGCATTAGCACAGCACTGAACAAGTCACAAGTCAACACGGTTGAAACACAACAGTGTGTAAAGTAATTGTCCCCTAAACCCAATAACTGGTAGTGCTACCCTCAAGACGTCCAATCGAGTGTTTGAGTTAACAGCCAAGGACTCTTTCACATCACTGTGGAGGAATTTTAGCCCACTCTGCTTTGCATGATTGTTTCCATTCAGACACATTGGACAGATTTTCCAGCACAAGCAGCCACTGATTTCACACATGGCTGTGCAGGTTTGAATAACTTTAATAAATGAAAGCATCATTTAAAGACATAAAGACCTGGATGGCCGCTAACTTTCTGCTTCTTAATTCAGATCAAACTGAGGTTATTGTACTCGGCCCTGAAAATCTTAGAAATATGGTCTCTAACCAGATTCTTACTCTGGATGGCATTACCTTGGCCTCCAGTAACGCTGTGAGGAACCTTGGAGTCATTTTTGATTAGGACATGTCCTTCAATGCACATATTAAACAAATATGTCAGACTGCTTTCTTCCATTTGTGCAACATCTCTAAAGTTAGAAATATCCTGTCTCAGAGTGACGCTGAAAAACTAGTTCATGCATTTATTACTTCCAGGCTGGACGACTGTAATTCATTATTATCAGGAAGTCCTAAAAACTCCCTGAAAAGCCTTCAGCTGATCCAAAATGCTGCAGCAAGAGTCCTGACAGGGACTAGAAAGAGAGCAGGTTTCTCCTGTTTTGGCTTCCTGTTAAATCCAGAATTCAAAATCCTGCTCCTCACATACAAGGTCTTAAATAATCAGGCCCCATCTTATCTTAATGACCTTGTAGTACCATATCACCCTATTAGAGCACTTCGCTCTCGCTCTGCAGGCCTACTTGTTGTTCCTAGAGTATTTAAAAGTAGAATGGGAGGCAGAGGTAACTAATGAGTGCAGCATTAAACTATTACATTATTATTATCGATACAACGATGCCAGTATATCTGTAAAAATACACACAAACGCACTAGTACTCTTTCCTTGGGGGATTTGGCAGAGAGCTTTAGCCTTAGTGCTTTGCCTCCCTCTAACTTACACCATGCTGACTCGATAGGATGCCCTCCTCCCGCACTCGTCTGCGCCTCTGCTTCTCGGCGTGGGGTCGAAGTTTGTTTGTGTGAGAAGCTTTAGGTGGGGTGCTGGAACAGAGTCTGGCTGCCCTCCTCAGACTCGGACCAGGACCTGTCCTCCACATCCTCGGTAACTTTACACGCTAGAATGCCCACGCATGCCAGCCACAGCCGTGTAACGTCACTACTTTGTCCCTGCCAACCTGAGGAGAGACGTTTGTATGGAAGCTTTACACAAAATTAAATCCGTGACAAAACGATGTTCCAGTATGGTTTGGTGCTGTTTGTTGACGGGATATTATATCTTCACGGACAACAGGAAACGCACTTGGTCCGTCTGGAAATATCTTCCCCACAGCGTTTCAAGTTAAAGCTAAGAGGAACCGGAACATCCTTCCCGAGTTTAAAAATAAAATAAATTGTGGAAACAGAGTTTTCTATCCAGTTAACTATCTAAACCATTTAAATTCCACACATAATATAATGATGTAGCCCAGCGACTACTGTCATGTGATTATTTTTTGTGGGTGATGATGGTTCCCATAGCTGATAGTTGTAACGAGGAGCCGTACGTTTCCGTTCCGACCCTGGCTAACGCGTTTTGTGCTTTGACTGTAGCCACCGCTGTCCCACACCTCGTAACTGTGGGTTGACATTTTTCCATTCAGTGCGATTTTTGGAGTTAAAGAGCGGAAGGTTAGTCGGTTAGCTGTCGACTAACGCGGTGTCGCTCATTGTTGACGCTCTGCTTCGTTTCTTTTGGATCTTTAAGCTAGTTAACGGTAGCGTTAGCAAAGCAGCTGCAGGGATGGCGGAGGTTCCAGGAACATCCAGTGAGACCATAACGGAGACCGTTCAGACGAGCACGCCGCCGCCGCCCCAGCAGGTAAACGATGGACAGCTGTTCCTGAGACAGTTGGACCGCTCTGGCAGCCAGTGACAGTGTACATTAAAGATACAGCGTTTATGTTATTACGGGGGAAGCGTCGTGAGGCCTGATATGTTAGTTACGTTAGGCTTATTTAAATGACAGGGCTGCTAGTAGCGCGGTAGCATTAGGGAAAGCCGATAGCGGGCTAAGTGCTGAATAGCTCCGCGTTGCTGTGTGAAAGTTAAACAGCTTTCAATTAACAACCCGAATCTGTAGTATTGTTGCATAATGTCTAAAGCAGCAGGAGCATCCGGTTTACATGTTAAATACACTCTGTTCAAATCATATTTCAAGTTGTCCTGCTCAGATAAACAGTCAGACCTCCATTAACTTAGAATGGGTTTAGATGCAGCGCAGACAGGCCCATCTGCAGGCACCACGGGCAAAGGGATGGTCTCTGCTAGCATACATGCCCGGTAACCCCAGCTTTGTGTCATTTCTGAGGCAGGTGCTCTTTAATAGTTTGTTATTAACCCCTCCCAACCCTCACGGCTTGACTTTTTTTAAAATTTGTTGCGCATTTTTTATTTCTTTTTAAATATGTGCATAGTCATGTTTGACTTTTAAATAAGAAGACGTCTTAAAGGATATTAAGAGGCATACTCGTGTTTGGCTACAACATACTTTGTGTATCATTTTACACAAATCTTCGTAGTCCTACTGATGCAGACTGTTTACTGCAGATGTTGTCATAATTAGAAGTATTTCAATAGTTGCAATTTATTCCTTATATTGTCAGAATTTGCCTAACTGATGGTCATGGTACATAGACTGGTTCTTATATAGACGCTTCTGCTCTGAGCATTCAAAGCACTTTCCACAACTTAGCCAATTAGCACTTGTATCTGTCTAACATCCATACACATTTAGAGTCTGATACATCAGAGGAATAAGTCCTTGGGGTTAGTATCTGCAGCAGACAGGGATCAAACCACCAACCCTCTGATTAGTAGGTGACCTGCTCCATCACCTGAGCAAGGACATGTTTTACTTTTCAGAGAGCAGGAAACAATAGCATGCCCATGACGCCATAGAGACAACAAGAAGGTCCTACAAATGATAGATGTCATTGAGTGTGACTGCAGGATTCACAGTTCACACTGTGGTTTGTTTGCGATGTCTCACAGTAGACCTCTTACATGTTACAGGAGGGAAGAAGCTTGACAATCAAGTTGAGGAAGAGGAAGACTGAGAAGAAGGTAGAGTGGTCCAGTGACACTGTCGACAACGAGCATTTGGGAAGAAGGTCTTCAAAGTGTGAGTTTATCTTTCTCCGTAGCACACAGGCTGAGAAATGTAATTAAGCATTTCAAATATGTCTGCCACCAGTTTTCAGTGTTTTGCTCTGTCACATTTTAGGAGGAACAAATGCAAACGTATTGGATGCACTTTTTCTTTTACTGTTTAGGTTCAGTGCCAAAACTTGCACTGTGGTATATTTTATGTTTCACAGTGGGGTTGTTGTTATCAGTGGGATTTTCTGTGGGCGTCCAGTGGCTCGTCTGTTGGGATTCTGCAGAATATGAAATAATTGAAAGTCATCATAAAACAATTAAAACTAAATCACAAAAACAACACAGCTGATATTTTACTCTTATGCTGAGTGTGGAACAATGGAATATTTGGCACCGGGCTGCAGAGTCAGTCCTGAAAAAGCTGTTTCATGAAGTTTGTCCTGGAAAGAAACTCGATTTGGACGTTTTCCTCTGAACTGTGTGGTTTTATTATCAGGAAAGAAAGCAAGAAAAAGAAAAACCAGTTTGAAATGACAACAAAGTACACTGGCTATGCTGCCCAGCACCGTTAGTACTGCCGCGCTGCACCCCTGCTTTCCATATGATTCTTTTTATTTATTTATTTTTGTATCATTAATTTCCCCTCAGCATGGTTGAAACTGTGTGTCCACAGCAGAGACTGTACTCAGTCAAATGATGCACACTTATTTATAAAGCCTGGACCATATACACCTGCGCACCACGAGTGACTGTACAGTACACGTGGTTTTCCTGTTTAACTGCAGTATATGACACGCATGAAGTAATTACAACAAGTAGTAGCTGTACCGAACGTGCTTCAGCGTGTCACGGTGCATTGCATCTCATTACTTTCCCCATGACATAATCGAGGCTCAGCTAATTAATTTTAATAGCCTTAATCTTTCTCAGTACCGTGCACATGTGTAACATGCACTAAAATGCAGCTAAAGCCCTGAGTAGACCACGGACTCCTGCCTCAGCATCCGCCTTCTGCACACTTACTACATCAAAGACACAGTATGTGTTTAATCACACGCTCCTGCAGTTACTGTTTCTGAAGTGAAAGTATTTTTAATTTTGAAATGACGAACTTGGAGCTTCATGTGAGCCTGTGGCATCATGAGCTGCTTGTTGTGTTTCAGGCTGCTGCATTTACGAGAAGCCCCGACAGTTTGGAGAATCTTCCTCCGAGAGCGAGGGAGACGACGACGACGAAGGCTGCGGCAGCGCTCACTGTATCCTGGGCCACGGCAGGAGAGGCCATGGACAGACGGGGGGTGGGGGGACTACAGTACCCCCAAACTCTGGGGGGTCGCACTCACACTAACAAAAAGCAGGGCTGATTGTGTGGTCTGAGGGCTCTTTGGCGCCACGACAATGACACATTAAAAACAAACAAACTGCACTCTTGTTTTAGTTTAGTTTCATCACTGAGGTTCAGGCCTGACAACCGGGCTTCAGCCCGAGTCTGAAAGTCCCAGCTGCTGCCGCACGACGGCAGCCTCTGTGCTGCTGCTCCTCTCGGGGAAAGTCATGGCCACGTCACGGGCTCGTGGAAAATACTTTGCCGACCTCAAAGCGTGTTTGCTATTGTGCCAACTTAAATATGAAGCATAGACTGGCAACACGTTCAAATTGTGATTCTAACTGAAATCAAATGACAGTTTCAGCGTTTTTCCAATCAGCTCCACTCGGTGTGCATGACATCACTGCTCAGCCTTATCTGCCGACCTAACACACTAGGAAAATAAGCTCTGAGCTTTGAACTTTATTCTTTCCTTTGTTTGGTTTTATTGAGTTGTGCTGGCAGGTTGGGCTCCTTTATGGTCATCATCTAGGTGATGCGCATCAACCCCATGATGTGGAGGTTTGAAAGGATTATTTAGAAAAGAAAAATAAAACTTGTAAAATCGATTTTCCTTTTTCCAGAAAAGTTATGTCTGCAGATTCCACAGTGCACCCAGAAGAGCTTCACAGCTCTATAACAGTCGCATTACTTCCTGTTACTTCGTAGAACTTTAAATCATTCCAAAAGTAGTCATTAGTAGCAATGTGATTGGTTCTGAATACATCAGAGGAGTGCTGACTCTCCCCAGCAGCATGTGGGACTTTCTGACTGCAAGGCATCAGTTTGGAAAAGGTGACAGCAGAAAGAGGCCATTAAATGCTGTCTGCTCGCAGAGTTAAATGTATATAATACAGCATATTGTTTTTTTAAAATGTAGTTTTCTAATTTATTTGCTGCTCTTAATTCTGAACTCGTCCATATTTGACATGTACCTGAGCCCAGCGGGTTAAATACTGGACATTTAGATTAGCTTCATATTTGTCTTTTCTGAGCTGTTCACCAGATTTACAGCGAATGCTGAACATATGAGCCAAGGCTCTGAATATAGTTTGGTTCACTGAGGTGGGCTTGTGTGAGCTGCTTTTCTATATCTTCACTGTATGGAGAGAAATTTGCTTCTGTGTACAATACGATCCACAAGCGTAAACTAACATTTACAAATGTGTACAATAATTTGTGTGCAACTTTTCAGGGGCACCACAGACAAATATGAAGCGATCTGACCACATGAAAACCATTTTACAAATGCGTATACCCAGACCTGAATAAATACGATTATTTATGCACAGTTTATTAAGTTCAGCTTTACAAATCCAATAATTTTACTTTTCAAAAACCTTTGTGTGTACAAATGTCTACACGTAACATCTCTCTCACTCATTTAAAAACATTACATATGTGTGGAATCGCCTGATGTGCACAGATCACCTCGCACGCCAACGTGGGGTTTTGAGACGAATTTAGCCGTGCCAGCTTGGCACAGATCCACAAATATGAGATGCACCAAGCTCCCAGTGTAAAACTGCTTCAAGTGTAGACCTGCGTGTCTTTTTCTAAATAAACAGAACAGCTCATTCAGTTCTGTTCAGTTTTATTTACACAGCCCCAAATCACAACAACAGTCGCCTCAAGGTTCTTTATATGGTAAGGTCGACCCTACAATACTACATGCAGAGAAAAACCCAACAATCATATGACCCCCTGTGAGCAGCACTTTGGCGACAGTGGGAAGGAAAAACTCCCTTTTAACAGGAAGAAACCTCCGGCAGAACCAGGCTCAGGGAGGGGCGGGGCCATCCGCTGTGATTGGTTGATGTGAGAGAAGGAAGACAGGATAAAGACATGCTGTGGAAGAGAGACAGAGGTTAATAACAGATATGATTCAATACAGAGAGGTCTGTTAACACATAGTGAGTGAGGTAGAAACACCCAGTGCATCATGGGAATCCCCGGCAGCCTACATCTATTGCAGCATAACTAAGGGAGGATTCAGGGTCACCTGGTCCAGCCCTAACTATATGCTTTAGCAAAAAGGAAAGTTTGAAGCCTAATCTTGAAAGTAGAGATAGTGTCTGTCTCCTGAATCCAAACTGGAAGCTGGTTCCACAGAAGAGGGGCCTGAAAACTGAAGGCTCTGCCTCCCATTCTACTTTTAAATACTCTAGGAACAACAAGTAGGCCTGCAGAGCGAGAGCGAAGTGCTATAATAGGGTGATATGGTACTACAAGGTCATTAAGATAAGATGGGGCCTGATTATTTATTGTATGTGAGGAGCAGGATTTTGAATTCTGGATTTAACAGGAAGCCAATGAAGGGAAGCCGATGCAGGCTTACCCCACATGGGCATGCGATGTGATCTGTGTGTATCAGTGAGAGAAATGTTACGTGTAGTTTTTGACACACACAGAAAGGTTTTTGAAAGGTGGGATTATAGGATTTGTGAAGCTGATCTTAATGAACTGTGTGTAAATGATCAGAATGTATTCAGGTTCTGATGCATGAATTTTTAGAATAGTTTTACATGTGGTCAGATTGCTTGTATTTGTGTGTGGATTGAAGTGTGTGCTAATGAAAAGTTGCACACAAATTACTGCACAGATTTGTAAGTGTTAGTTTTCTCTTGTGGATCATATTGTACACATTGGCAACCCTTATCAGGTAAATCTCTCTCCATATCATTAGGCTATGGAAGGCATGCTCACAATAACACAAACTAACTAATAGAGGCAGCAGATACGAATTAGTGTATCCCATTCAAATGGACCCATATTCAAAAGTATTTTGCAGGATTAGTGCCTTTCTGTAAAGTGTTCCCCATAATCAGTACCACCTTTTACTGTATTAGGAAGTAGCTCTACAAAAACAAAGTGAGGGAAAAATAAAGTCAAACATTTAGATTATTGAAATATAGTAAATAAACACAGTTTAATCATGAGTACATACGCATGCTAAAATGTTTCAATTTACATACAAAACTGCTTTAAATGAGTTTCTAACTACTGTTGTATAACTAGAGTTTGCAGATTAGTCACACAAGTCCATCTTGTTTTGTGTCCCATGATTTTTATCAGAGACTTTGGCAGTGAGCTGGTTATAAATACAAATATTAACTAAGCTTATATATTTCAGAATTTACTGATTATAGGCTTGTTTTCTTTTTAAAAAACTTTTAATGTCATTGGGAGTCACTTTCAAAATCGGTATTGTTTTAGCTAGTTGAATTCTTGAAGACAGTTTCATGTGTGATGAGGATGTTAATGTTGGATGAACTGAAGTAAGCTGATTTGGTCAGGATCATGTAAGCCTGGATTAGTCAGACTAGATCTGAAGAATGGAGACCTGGAGGAGATACACGGTCGCCTTACTTCAAAACTTTAGCTCTCCGCCTCTTATTTACAATCACTCTGTATTCTGACCAAAGCTCATTAACTCAGAAGGAGGAGGCGGGGTCTGTTTTACCTTTAAACACTTTCATGGGTTTAGTTTTGTTTGGTTGTTTAAATCCTTCGTGTCCACTGGATAAAACCAGTCTGCCCACTTGAGATTTGAGTACAACTGCTTTTTCATTTTTCTTTTCCTTTGGTAGGCGTGGCGTTCACAGGCTCAGCAGTGGTTGTGAGCAGCAGCATGGAAAAGTAAGAAGTTGTGTGTGTGCACTGATTCACTACAGTGTTCACGTTCCTGAGCTGCATGTCAGCCAGAAAACAAAGCCTCGGTGAGGGCGAGGGGTGTTTGTGCTTTTCCTGCTGTGCTCGCTGGTTTCCTCACTGTGAGGTAAATAAAGACAGAGCTTTACATGATTTGAGGTTCGTTGCTGACCAGAGTGTACACATGTAACTGCCTAACGTGGCACAGAGAACGGGGGTGAAGCTGCGTGACTACTGGCCCAGGCTTATTTTTCTGACGTCTCTGCTGTGACACTCCATCATCATCGTCCTCATCCAGGATGGGTTCAGACCGTGGGTTATATTCACATCATCTCCACCAACATTTCCTGTACTGCCCACACACATTGTTACATATGTACATTGTTCTTGTAACAGTATTGCAGCTTTCTGTACATATACAATGAATACACTGAGATCAGATTTAATGTGAATTAAAGTTTTGAACTGTGATTAAAAATGTCGTACTGATGTGTGACACAGGAATAAATGTTTAGTCATGTCCCATCAGGTCTCCCCAGTGGACTAAAGGACAAATCTGTGTGTAAAATCCACTTTCAGTAAAGACCCCACAGTAACAGACCTGACAAAGATAAAAACACCTCAATTGTAGCTTCCACTGTGGAAACACATGGTTGTCATGCTTCTCAGTCACTTCCTCAGCCTCACCTTGAACTGGCTTAAGGTTTAAAGGTTGGCCAGTGTGCTGACAGCTGATTCGAGTTTCCTGTTGGTGAATGGTGGAGACACGTCCAACATCAACTGACAAAACATTACAGCTTAAAGTTATTTGCAACTTTGCACTTTCAGTACTGTGACTTCCTACATTGCTTCACTGTTCTGTTGCTATCATTATTTCTTTCCAATAGAAGCAAGCAGCTGCTTCCTGGCTGCTTTGTTTTTTAGCCTTTAAAGGCCCAATGATTGTGAACGCTCAAGTGACACCAGTGCCACCTAGTGGTCGGTGGAAAAGCCAAACTTTCACTGTAAAGTCTTTGTTCACGACTCCATGATTTGTTCCATTTGAAGGGTGAGATGTGTGCACTAACATTTGAAATGTTAATGAAAGGTTTCTGAATGGCCCTCTCTCTGCAGTATTTATGTATTTTGACCAATCACAGTACAGGGGAGTTCCTTTCCTAGGTCTAGAGCCTAGAGACAGAAATGGGACTCGTAAAAGTGTGTAAAAAAACCCAAACTCACGTGTGTGTAATACTAACCAGATAAAGAGTAAGACGTGTTTCGCAGGAAATAGGACAAATAAAGATTGCTCCTTCATGTGAGCCCTGCCTTAAAGTAGTTTGTCAGACTCGAGTCACAATCAAGCCGAGATTTAAAACTGATGCTTTTCATTCTTCATGATCTACTAAATACAGCTAACTTTGGCCTACAGACTATTACATCATCAACATCCCACAGTAAAAAAATACCTTAGAATTTATTGTTTGAATCTACCCAAGAGTCTTTTTTAATGCAGATTTAATTTCATATGATGGCTCCTGGTGACTTTACAGCGTGATGTGGCAGGTATCAGTCATCTGTAGAAACTAACTACAGGCTACAGAGGTTCACGCAGCCTAGGGTGCTTTTAGGTCACTTGTCAGAGTAGCATCAGTGTTACACATCTGATTTGAAGAACGCACTGACCACTTAATTAATTCTGGCAGTTAAAAAAGGTCATCAGCTCTGTGCAAGTACATTTCCCAGCATGAATGGAAACAAATGCATCAATCATTTAAAACAATCAGGTTTAGCTGGCTATTACATGCAAAGACCAGTGTGGTCCTGCACTCTGGCTACAAACGGTCGTTCCAGCACAATCCACATAACCAACCACCAGAGTTTCAAGATTTCAGCTGAGAAGGATGGCAGCTAGAAATCCTTCCCTGCTTTGTTCCTTCCAGGTTGACACAAGGGATCAGCATCAGGCAAGTGATTAATACAATAACAAAGAAGTATACACATAGACTTGTAAAGATTTGGTGTAACCTGTTTACTTGAACAATATTATAAAATCAAACATTTTCAAACACTTAAATATTTCATTATGTGGCCAAAAACTGGAAAAAAGCAAGATTAAGATTGTAAGATTAAGGAAAAAATACCATATCATTATTTGAATTGTGATGGACAAATATAGCATGGCCAAAGGATCCAATGATGCCCTTTAAAGCTGCATCCTCTGAGGACTCTCCTATGTTACAGTAAGACGAGGAAAAGCAGCAGATTTGCATCTCCTACCTTAAACTATCAGCAGACTCTGAACCCTGTTGTGCTGTGAAGTGCAGTGTCAGTAAGGGTTTGATTTTACGCTATATTTTCATCAATAAGAATTCTGTAGTTTTGTTATACGTCATGCACAAATAAGACACAAATACTTCAGTTAATTTTGCCCAAAGGCTTCATAATCGCACAGGCTGATGGAGCTGAAGTCCATAAGTGTTACTGGAATAAACGGTTCAGCGGCACATACTTAAACACAGTAATATATACGAGAGTAGTGGTAAATGGAAAAGCCCTCCGTGACATTTCTGTGGAGGGAAAGTGCGCCCTACGTTGTGAGTATATATCATGGCACAGAAAACAACAAAAGGCAGAATCTAAGTGTACACACAAAATACTTTAAAGTCAGCTGCTGGTATTGTGCCGGTTCCCAGAATCTCACATATCTCTCACAGAAAGCAACAATGAGTGTACTGCTCCTTCAACCAGTTCATAGTTTGAATGTAGCATCGGCTGCAAATGCATGCCAAGGTTGCAGAAGCTTCCACAGCTCAGGTAGACCTGCTGTTTGATTCACCGAACATCTGATCACTTATAAACGAACAGCAACCATCTCCATGCTGAAGCTACTTCCTTTATGACTTGAAAGGAAAGATCTGAATTAGATTTCATTAGTCTTTTGCTCTTTGTCTAAAAAAAGAAATTTAAACTGCAGACTACTCTTGGCTTTAATACAGTCTATGCCAGGGGTGTCGAACTCCAGGCCTCGAGGGCCGGGGTCCTGCAGGTTTTAGATCTCACCCTGGGTCAACACACCTGAATCACATGATTACTTCATTAGCAGGCATCTGGAGAACTTCAGGACATGTTGAGGAGGTCATTTAGCCGTTTGAATCAGCTGTGTTGGATCAAGGAGACATCTGAAAGCTGCAGGACACCAGCCCTCGAGGCCTGGAGTTCAACACCTGTGGTCTATGCTGTAGTGTGCGTGTCTTGAGTAGCTATAGCTCACCAGTGGTGTTTGCTACTAGCTTGGATCGCCTGCAGGCGACACAAACATTCACATTAGCTCCCTGTTCCACTGAGTGAGCCGGTACGGTGTCCTGGATACAAGCTCAAAGTCACAGGTCAGTACCATCACAGAGTCTAAACCAGGGGTGGGGACCTCCAGGCCTTGAGAGCTGGTGTCCTGCAGGTTTTAGATCTCACCCTGGGTCAGCACACCTGAGTCAGATGATTGGTTCATTACCAGCCTCTGAAGAACTTCAAGACATGTTGAGGTCATTTAAATCAGCTGTGTTGGACATGGCCAAGCTTCAATTGAGTTCAAACTGAGCGGGGCCATACGGCAGATTTAAATTTGCCCCCCACACAATGAACACGGTCAGAAGAGCTAAACATTAGGAGGCACACTAAAACTGGCCAGTGGATGCAGGCGCAAACTGTCGGTGGTGCTGTTCAGTAAGACTTCTGTTCAGAGTTTATTCCTGCTCCTCGCTGTGTTTAAGAGACCCAAAGATATTTCTGCTTCACCTAAAGTGTCTCAGTGAGGCTCTCTTCATAAATGCTGCATCTGTCCTCTCTAAGATTTGCTGTTCTACTCACCAACACAACGCACTGGAGGCAATCGGCTGGTCTCAAATCAAGTGACTGTCTCATGGGAAGAGTAGTCCCACAAACAAGAAGAAAACAGAAACGGGTACCTGCTGGCGATTTCCCCTTTCACTTAAGCATTCTCTGAACATTCATGAGCTCTTCTGGTGTAGATTACAACAGTTATCAGTGAGATCAACTGAACACAGATGCAGATCTGTAGTGCTGGACATAAAGTGCCACAAGTATCATTTCTCTGAATATGAAATTAATGTGCAATACAATTCTTAAGTTACGCTGCAGAACACACGCTGCAGTCCACAGTCTCAGTCCCACCGCTGTGACGTCAGAGGGCTGGAGGAGGTGTGATACAGCTGGAGTACTGGTGGTGCCAGCAAATTCTCTCCACCTGTGGAAGACACACACCAAATAAACAGACGATCAGGAGACTACAGCGATCACTGCACGTGTGTGCATGCTGCCTGGTATAGCTCAACAATTAGAGTTAACTGTAACACGGTGGTTGTTGCCTCTGTTTTAAAACTACCAAAAACTAAACTCTGTTCAAGAGCACAGGTTTAATAAAATCCTGTTAACTGTGAAGAAAACACGTGAGATTTGTCCCAAAAACAGAGCCAACCTAAGGAAACTGCCTCTGAAACCACCCTGCTGTCAGTTTGGTTAAAACAACTTCCTTTTCCGAGCTCTCAGTTCACGTCTTTAGAAATAATGAAATCTAAAACAATCAGTCTGATACACAACAAGTGTTTTCAGCCTACAAATGCAGGACAGTGACAACTAAGATTTCTTCATAGCGTGCAACATTTCTTTCCAACACTGGCTCTGTGGACACTGGAGACACTGTTATACTGTCAGTCAGATCCCCCAAAACAAAAATCAAGCCAGCAGTGTTTAGGAAGCATAGTCTTTAGTCTGTATGGGTCTTTTATTTTGAAAAGTTAAGAGCTTCTCTTTGTTGTTCCAGTGTCTAACTCATACTCTCCTCATGTGCTCTGTGCAGCCTGACGTGGCTTCCATGAAAAACAAAAGACCCGATGCAGTTTTCACCAGCAGAGGCACATTTGGTGGAACTGCTAGTGACAGTCTCACCAGTGTCCTGTTCAGCTCTTCTACAACTGAACATGTTTCCATCTCAGAGGTGAAAGTTAAACCAAAGGCCTTGTCAATGCTACCACTGCTTATCACTGTTGCATAATGTTGGCAGTTATTTGGGAATTTAATTTGAAGTTCCAATCTACATGAATGAGCAGAATGCTGGTACTTTTACTTCTGTCAGTGGGACATAAAAACGACATGTTGAGAAGTACAGTCAAATCTGATAAAGACACTTAAAAAGTTAGATGTCTTTTCCCCAAAGTAAGATTTAAAATGCTTCTTATAGTGCATGCTTTTATTTTACTTTGCTTTATTCAAGACCGGGCATGAGCCAAACATGTCAAAGATCCGTATCTCGTCAAACATGAAAGTTTGCTAAACCTGCTTTGTGAAACAGGCGCATGTACTTTGCCATCTCACAGTAAACATAAGCTGATGATGTTCTTCCTTTGTTGGAGTTTATTCCTCCCTTTGGAGGCCTTCCTACTTGGGGGGGATACATGGTCTCAATAGCAAATGTTTAAACGTATGTCTCACACAAAACAACATAACATTTGGAAGAATATGAAACTGGTCAAGTTGATCACCCATTGTGTATATAACTATGCTAAATTGTATCTATCACTGTAGCTATGTTTATACATGTTCTCCTTGTTTATTGTGTGTGGGATTCAATAGAAGGTTGAGCATGGGGTAGGGATTAATAGGTATGTTATACTTCTTCCATTTCAGACTTAATAATTGTCATTTCATGTCATTTAGACTTATTTTATTTATTTTGTTTTATCTGAGCACATACGTGTGTGTATTTACATATATATTCATTTTTGTAAATGCAAGTATGTGTACTTGTGTGTGTATATATTGTTTTTTTTTCTGTATATGTCTGAAATAAAGATACAATACATAAGGCACATTAAATACAGAGTAACACACTTTTGGTTCACATAAAAACATGTAGTTAAATCACCAATAGGCTGCAAGTAGGGCAGGGTTTAACGATTTCAGCTTGAATAAAGTGATATTGATTCATTAAATCCTGAATCAATTTTTAAATATAAATGTTTAATTACAAACGACAGAATCTCAGCTTAAAGCTCATTAAAGTATTTAAACAACCAGCAAACAGCTAAAACAGTAAATGAGAGCAGGTAAACGGACTCCACACAAAGAAACACGCAGCGTGGATCGTTCACCCGACTGTGTTTTATCCTCAGTTACTTTGACAGAAAGGCATCTGCTGTGATGCTCACACCTCTGATCAAGTCTTTGTTTTTATACATAGATATAAAAATGTAGATATGTACTGATGAGCAGAATTTTAATATTTCCGACTGTGTCAAAATGTAATCAAATGGAATCAGTTATAAAATCAGTGAGGATTCTCAGGCCCAGCTGCTAACGCAGGCCTTCAGAGTCACTTTCAGCAGGCGCTTGCACACCTGCCTTTTGAGGGTAATTCAGTGTCCATGAACAAGTCAATTACTTACTGAATTCCATACAAGAGACAGAAAAACAGCTCTATGCAGACGGGTAGTTGTTCTTTTGTGGAATGTAAACCTTTTCTACATGAATCAATCTATGCAACAAAAATGTCTGCGTGCTCTTTAACGCAGGGCTTTGTGTTGCTTTAACTCTTTAAAATGATCCAAATGTGTAGTAATGAATTTGAGGCCACTTTCTCCTTTAGAAACGCTATGATTTTGTCAGTGTGCTTTGGATCATCACGCTGGAGTATTCCCGGGAGAGCTTTTGTCAGATTATTTTGGTACATCCACTGGTGTAATTTATATCTGTCATCTCCCCCTGAGTACTTCGACTGTGGAGACGACACATTCATTGTTAACATCAGTAAGTTCATCTTGGTCTGTTCTGATCAAAGAATGCACTCCCAGTATTTATTCGATTTCATCTCATGTTCTTTAACTAATATTCATTTTTTAATAAACTGAAAAGTTTATTAAAGTAGTTTTTTTTCCCTTTGGATGCAATCCATAGTCGCTGTTATGCAACCTCTTCCTCACTGAATGAACTCTCAGTAATAACTGCTCCACTGAGCATTTGCCCGTGTATGTTTTCAGGGCTAGACTGTGGAGGTAGCACGGGCTTATTTTAGAAAAGCCTCTTCAGCTTGTTGTACGTCTCCTCCTGATTACTGCTGCAGCTCGGTGGTTTGTTTTGGCTGGTCACACACAGCACAGACTGGCAGATACACTCAGGAAGTAGAACATCCACTAATCCCAATTCAATCATTTAATCAACAATCATCCTAAAGGCAGCTCCCAACATGAGGACATAACCAATGTAAAATTATTAAGTAAAGCAAACTTCAGTTCCATCATTTTTTCACGTAGTCTCGAGTTATTCATTATCTTCACACATTGTAAACTCCGTCAGCTTTCCCGACTTGGATTGAAATGCTTGGATGTGAGCATGTGCAGTAGCCCAATTCAGGCCCAATGTTGATCTCAGAGTAGAAGACAGAAACCCCTCAGTGCAGCATAAAATGGTAAATAGCCTGTATTTGTATAGCGCTTTACTAGTCCCTAAGGACCCCAAAGCGCTTTACACTACATCCAGTCATCCACACACTGGTGATGGCAGCTACATTGTAGCCACAGCCACCCTGGGGCGCACTGACAGAGGCGAAGCTGCCGGACACTGGCGCCACCGGGCCCTCTGACCACCACCAGTAGGCAACGGGTGAAGTGTCTTGCCCAAGGACACAACGACCGAGACTGTCGGAGCCGGGGCTCGCACCGGCAACCTTCCAATTACAGGGCGAACTCCCAACTCTTGAGCCACGATCGGCCCCTAAAAAACATAAAGAGCCTCAATGCTGGATTTGAACTTTTTTTTTTAAGCTTGTAATAAGTGTGTGACACAATGCACAGCTGACATCATCTAATGTTTGTTAAAGTTAGTTTTCCAGCACTAACTATCTCAGCTAATCGGTGCTTCACAGTTAGACTTAACTATGAGGCAACATTAGGGTCACATTGAGAATAAAGTCAGAAGCTTGAGATTAATCTTGAAATGCTATTTTGGTGCCTGTGACAGCAACGACTTTAATCTCCACTTTTTGAATAATACATATATTTTTACTCTTAACGGGGCCCTAATACTCCGTCACATTTGGGAGAGAAACTTGTACTGAATGTGTCGAGGCTTTGTTGCACAGCCAACAGCAGCTTTTCTTACCACTGGTCACAGAATGCCTCAAACATATTTTAGTTATTTCAACTAACAGTGAAAGTAAACAAGTTGGCGCCCTTTTTCTATTTTGCTCGAGCTGACAGAGTGAATGTAGTTTGATCCTCCAGGTGTTTGCAGAAGATAAACTCCATACAAATAACCACAGCTCTGGCTGTGTTAACTTAGCTGCAGAGTTCACGCTCAGTGAAGTTTGTTAAAGCTGTGTGAAGCCTAGCAGACAGCTGATAGTGGGTCTTACTCACAACACACAATAACTCAATCTTGACAGGGAAATAAGTGGTTCCTCCCAGAGCAGGTCTGAGCTTCGAGCTGGTTTCACACCACTCAGAGAATGTTTTTTTGTGTTTCACTTGGTAACAGGGTTAAAATAGATCCAGGATGTCCCTGCTGTGTTTGTGTTGGATGCCCAATGACAGCACTGAGCATTTTTCTCTTCTTCTTACAGTAGTTGATCAACTTACACAGACTCGTAGTGTTCAACTGTGTAACAACTGCTAGCCCCTACACTAAAACGCCTTCAGTAAACAGCTGTATTATTCTGAAGCCTGGACAAAAAAACAACACAATGTTACAGAATAAAATTAAATCTGATAACTTTGACAAATATAACAAGAATAAATGGACTCACCTTTAATTTGTCTTTACCTTGTCTTTGACAGACACAGGCTTGTCTTTGTGTTCCTTAGTGTCTCTCGTGTCATCAGTGTCCTTTCCTGTCTGGTCATTCTCTTCCTCAACACCTAGCATCACACTCTGTCGAACACTGACAGAGATCACCAACGCCTGAATGATGCCATAGATCAGGGCAAACTGCAGGAGATACTCCTGGATCAACCAGAGTAATCCTGCCATTCCAACTGTGGCGACAAAAAACATAGCCATACCATGAAACCACAGTCTCAGTGCTCCCTGGACACCCAGCACCTCCAGGATAAGCTTGGCAGGAGGTGACACAGTCCACAGGAAGCCAACAACAAACAGGTCAAACAAGTGGCGTAGGAAGTTAAAGCAGATCTCGTAGTGCTCTGGTACAATCTCCACGTTCCAGCTGTGTGCAAACAGTCGAAAAGGAGAAGTCAGCTGAGAGGGAGAAGGGGTGGGGGACGGAGGGGGGGTTCCATAATCAGAAAAGTCTCCATCAGTATCACGTTCCCGTGGATCTCCAGTCCCACCGTCACGTTTCCTGTGTCGTAGTCCACTTAGCTCAGTTTTCCTTGGCCACAGATAAGAAGTTGGAAGATATCTATCCCACCACCTAGGCACCAGTACAGTTTCAGCCTCTGGCTTCCCTGCCGCCAGATCTTCAATTTTAATGGGCTGAAGCTTCTCCTGTGCCTCCCAGTACTCCTCTACTGGACTGCTTAGTTCATGCTGACGTCCCCATGAGCCCCAGATCCAAGCCTTGATGCCCCAACCACCACTGCCACGCAGCTTTTGGCGCTCAGCTGTCAAAACGTTAGTGTCCTTTGACCTGGCACCGCTGCTGCCCCATGAGCGGACCCACCCCCACGCTTTGCCCACCACAGCTGCCATGTCTGCTCGCGGAGCTTGTTAGACCTCGGTTAAAATCGTCAGTTCTCACGTCCTGTTGGCTTCCCGAGCTTCAGAGAAAAGCATGCACTCGCTGTCGGTGCAGTTATGAAGTTGAAATACTTGTTCAGGAGGCCTCAGGCCTGGGCAACGTGACGTCCTCGGGTCATCGCCACACCTGTGGGTGTGTTCGAGCAGTTCAGCAGACAAAAGGTTACACTCGCCCCCACCCTACATTACTTACAGGGCTCTGCTCTTAACGAGACTCCACCATTTAAAGTCCAGAAGAACAGTCTACATGTTTGGTTTCAGCTGACAATCTTCGAGGGTGCTTTCAGTATTTCAGCGACACTTTAGCACAGAGGAACTGGGAAAGTTGACGAAAGCTTCAGCTCAGCGTTAGCCAACAGTTAGCTTATTCTTTGGCCAGCCCTTCCCAACAAAAAAACAAAACAAACTTTTTTCAGCCTCTCGAAACGCATTTGTTAACTCCTCAAACAAGTAGAAAGGTTGGTTTACGCGTGCAGTTTGGTATCCAGCTCCACGTCAACATCGTGCAGCTTTGCTAACACAGCGGTCAGCTGCCCTACAGGTTACTCACCACTGAGCGAGCTGTTTAAAGTTTACCTCACATATGATTTTTCGGTGTGAATAAACCTGTCAGTGATAAAAGTCAGTAGCTAAAAGCTCACCTTCGCCGCTGTTAGCTGCTTTGTCAGAACCCAGCTAGCGCTACTCGTTAGCATGAGGTAACTCGATAAACAGACTAGTTGCTCTGCTTCAGCACGTCGTGGCTCAAATGTCCACTGTGGAGAGAAAGGTCCGTGTCCACTCAAAGCTAAGGGAAGGCAGGTACCACTAAGAGCACTCCTAGCAAGCACAAAAAGGTCGCCTGAACGGTTTCCCCGCTCATTACGAGAACAAAGACGACGAACTACCGGGTCGCTTTCAGCCTTCAAAATAAAACCATGGTTACCGTCAGAAGGTCAGCATCACGTGAGACTCGTCCTCTTCAGTGATGTTGCCAACGTGTAAATTAGCTTTGCACGTCAGTCAATTTCACGGAGGCAGATGTTTGTAAAACCTATCAAACTACACAACTTCTCAGGTTCTGGACACACCCGATTTTATATCAGTTCAGCGTAGAAATACGTGACCAAGCCGCTTTCAGCTCAGCCTTTTATTCCTTTGCATGAGATCGTTTAATGATGTTGGATAATTTTGCCACATCACTAACATTTAATTCCAGTTTAGCCATGTGCAGCACTTTAATACAGCATTCAGTCACCCATCAGTAAGGTTTCACACATTTATACAAGTAAAATGTTGCACTGATGTGTAAGACAGTAAACCCAAAAGCTGCTTGGGGATTATACAGTTACAACCATCTGATCAGTGCATGAGAAGAACTTATGGCAAAACTGTCACCCACTGATATTAGCTTCCAAAGCACATTGCTCTGAGTTTACTGTGATCAACCCACTGAAGAAAATAGCCATTGGTCCTGTGTGGTCAACCTTTATTGTCCTTAAATACAGTGGTTTAAAAACAAAACAAAAACCACATTCAACATTCACACAGATGAAGACACGTTGCTTAAAGCAATGGAAGACGTGCACTGCTCCAGCTTGATGCTTCCATCAGATGACAGACGAGGCTCTTCAGTGTTGGGAGTGCCACCTCTGCAGTTACACCTGTCAAAGGACAAAAATGAGTGAGACATGTAAGGGGGTGGGGGAACTCATTGTCACAGAGTGTAGTACATCTCCAACTTACAGCACACACACTGCAGCAATGATCATTTGAATAATCCACCTACTCACACCAACCTGCTTTCTCTTCATGAAGGTCATCCAGCTGGGGCTGCTACAGTCATGCCTGACAAGATAACAGTGATGAAATCACAAGCTCTTTCTCATCCATATATTCAGGAAGCGCTCCAGTCTGAGTGTCTCAGTGCGCTGCGAGTAGACTTCAGTTAACATCAGTAGAACCGAATAACTGAATCATCATCGACCAGACTCAGGAAACAGCAGCTCCATTTCAACAAGCTTGGATCATTTGAATACACAGGCTTAGCTGCGATATCTTAGTATAATCTGCTCATGATGAAGTATGGTCACAGGTGACCCAAAATGAACACATTTCTTACTTACAGACATGGAGAGAGCAGCTGTGTGCAGACGAGCTACAAGACAAAAGAAAGCACTATTAGCACCTGACTTATACCAGTGAACATTCAGGGAAACCATGTGTATGGATGCTTTACCCATTTACTGCAAACACTTCAGACTTGTTACATGACTGTACAACTTCTCCCTGTGAGAAACTATCAGTAAGGTCCCAGATGACTGGGACACTTGTTTCAAACATCTGCAGTATTAAAATGGTAAATATGTTTTTATGTTTTACATGTGCTAAAGTTCAGAGACGGTTAACCAAGTGCATACTTGAGTATGACTACCTTTACTCAAAGCAATGAAACACAAGCTTTAAGTGTTCTTTGTTGGACAGACCTGAAGAAAGCCCAGCCATGATTTAATGTCTGTAATGTGCAGTAAATGGGCTGCTGTGGGTTTTGTGGTCAGTGCACTGTGAAAACAACTTCATGCTTCTCAGAGACTCTAGTCTATGCAATCATCATCCCACATTAAGGCACAGAACAATGTTTAGAGTCCAGGCTTACCCAGAAGAGCCATGTCCAGCAGATAAAACCATGCTGAGGTGCCTGCAGAGTACAAAGGAGAGTTTTAGAACTAGCTCTGATTGTAGCATTCACATGTTAAGAAGTAAAATGCTGTTCAGTGCACTGTGAAAGAGCTTCATTGTGTATTCAGAGACTCTAGTCTTATGAATCATCATATCAGCATACTACTTCCTCCATCACATTAGAGGATCTTTCTAACACTCACCATCAGCTCGCAGCTGCAGACTCCACACTGTTCTGCATCTGCTCTTTGCAGCTTTCTGGAAAGCAGAGGATGCAATTTCCAGTCAGTTTAGTTTTTATATGGTAAACGTTCTAGAGCCATAGTCCATCTTCAGAAAGATCTACTTCACAGCGAGGCCTTAGAGCCCTACGATATTTATTTCCAAGGCTTTAATACATTTTTAAATATACCAGCTTCACTGTGCTAGGGCAGGTAACCGCATCTCACCAGCAGAATTGCTATGTACTGCTCTAATTTGCTTGCTTTGTAAAATTGTATTACCTTACCCCAGTTAACTGCTACATATTTGCACTGATTACAATTTAGATGGAAAAAACGCGTATTTCACCTGCTGCGCACCACGTTGTGTCGATGCGGACATGAGCTGTTAGCTGGACAATTTAGCATTTTAATACTGCCCGATTATAAGGCTTTACTCCAGCATAGCCTAAAACTACGGTAAAGTATCTGATTAATAATAGAAGATTACTCATTCCTACTAATAATTTAAATTAAAATCGACACTGAAAACAGAACCTTTGATGTAATACTCACACTCTTCCCCTAACAGCTTCTCCGGAGGTAGACTCTGCAGATTCACTACCCTAACCCCACTTTTTCTGCACAGAAACGAACAGGACCGCAACGAGGCCAGGCTCCTGGCCACGTGCTGGGCACCTGACCCGCGGATCGCGTGCCGCTCGTCCCTCGCGCTCTGCAGCATGACTCTGACCACAGAGCTCTCCGAATAAACCCTCCATTATCAATTCAGAGGTTAATCTGTCTAAATGCTAAAGCCTTGAACATCAGCTCCTCCTCCTTCCACAGCCAGAACCCAAAGGCTGAGCACGAGCGCGCCCAGGGCTTATATATCCGGGTCCTTCACCGCTACCGGACTTTTGGTGGCCCGAAAAATGCCCGTTTCGGCCTGAATAATGCCTGTTTGGAAGTCAGGCCCCAAAGAAAATGTGAACACTTCATAACGCTGTCAGTTTGTGCAAACAAGCTATGATACACAGATACGATATATTTAAAATACCATACACAAGAGAGCAACGAGATTAAAACAATACACCAAATCTCTCTCCCTCTCTCTCTCTCACTCTCACACACACACACACAATAAATAAACTTAAAAACGAACAAATAAATAATCACGATGGGTGGGTTAGTCCACGCTGGGTGCACTTAAATCTAAACCGTGAAGTAGAAACAAGTTATTCATGTAGTCCATAATGCAGACTTTTACCGAAGAAGAAAAAGACTCAGGTGTAAAAGTCCCACTAACCCTTAACCATGTGACGTGCGGCTATTGTTCACACAGCCAGTGACAGTTGCAGCGACCGAACCGGATTAAACTACAAGTACCACCCATCACCACGTCTGTCTCAGGGTGCCAGGTTCGCTGGGCTTGGCGGGAAAAACGTGCACTTCAGGCCCCGCGCCTGCTCTGTGTTTTACACCTCGTATCTGGCAACGCCTGCAGGTCCTCGCATTGCTGTCGTCACTGAGGTCGGGTAGAAGGAGCGAAGATGGCGACTTGCTACGAGAGATACAATTTGTAAGTAGTGTTCATACGGAACAGCGTAGTGTTTCTGTCTGCGGCTTTTCTGCTCACAGCTCCGGTTAAAGACACATAAGACGAGTGGCTGTCCGTGAGAGGTGAAGCAGCTGCGGGGGCTCAGCGGTGCTGGTGGGGTAGATGACACAGCGGCTGAAGTTTGCTGACAGGCTCGGCCGGCGGAGCAGGAACCAGCCAGGTTTCTCTCCACTCTCATTCATAATGAACACTTAGCCAGTGTCGCTGTGTGGAGCCGGCAGCAGCGAGTGTGGGTGAGAGCGCCGACGGGCGCCTTTGGTATTCAGGGAGGCTTCATTCACCCAACGAGCTGCTGCACAGCTGCTCCCTCCGGCTTTAGTGGCACTCCACGGCTGGCAGCTCCTCGACGCGTTTTTAGACGTGCAGGGTTTATATTTACTTGTGAATGTCACTCAGCTGTAAGTGAGCCTAACACTGATAACCGCGGACATGTGACGTTAGCCGTGCGGCAGCTGACAGCTCAGCCCCGGCACACCCTCGATCAAGCCCTTTATTTCAAGTACCCAGCCCTACCGGTCCTGCCTCTGCCTGCAGCGTGTTTTACTTACACGAGTGAAGGTGTTGGGTGTTCCTCAGCCTTTCCCAACACGGAGCAGGTAATGAGGCACAGCTCTGTAGTACGTCACACATGTTAGACAAATGGACCCTCTGAGTTTGGGCCAGTACAGTGAGCACTGGCATAATCTAACTGGGGAAATGCAAAACAAACAAAAACTTTGACAAAGCATCTTTTCAAATAAAGTAAAGACCTAACATTTCTCGGTAATTTGTACATAATTGTCCAGTTATTGACAATAATGCCAGTTTTTCATTTAACCCTGGAGTGCCTCTGTGTACAAAGAGGTGCTGGGTGCACCTTAACCTGATGCATCCCAGCACTGCGGGCCTGGAAGTGTGATTTAGACCAGTCTGCAGTCATGTGTTACTCATCGCACGACTGCTCATTCTAACACTGACAAATGAAAAAGTTGCCTCAGAACAAAACCGTCTGTTTGAAAACTCGTTTCCTGTTTGGTCCACACTGTGGTGGGGGGTCAGAGTTCACCCCCCCACAGTTAAACTCTGTCTATTTTCTGTGTTTTCCACCATGGGGGTCACGTTCACCACCTGATTATTGTGTGTGTGTCTTATTGTGCTTCTGATGGCATAGTTTTCAAGGACTACAGATCAAACATGTCCTGATTCACACTTGCCTGTTGTCCACGCTGCGGCTCCTGGCTGTGGGACCTTATTCGGTCTCTTCTCTTTGTTCTTGGTTTTACACTGACTGTCAGTCACAAAGCATATCTCTGCTTATGGCAGCATTAAGTGACCCTGAAACTTTGTTAAATGTGCGTAGGTGTAGATGCTGTGTTTAAACCGTGGCCTGTTCTGTCCTCAGAATAAACCGGAGCAGCGTCCAGTCTGAACCTGTGTGCTGCT